GGCCCTGTGGCTACTCTACCAAGAAGTGGGCGCCCAGTCAAAATGACTCCAAGAGCACAACGAAGACTCATCACTGAGGTAAAGAAACAACCCTGAGTGACAGCCAAAGATTTGAAGGCATCATTGGAACTGGATAACATCTATGTTCATGAGTCTATAGTATCAGGTGTATCAAAAAATTCTTCAGGATAATATGAGAATGTCTGTACATCAGCTGAAACACTGTAGAAGTTGGGTGACGCAACAGGACAATGACCCAAAACACCAGAGCGAGTCCACAACAAAATGGTTTCAGAAAAACAAAATCCACCTTTTGGAGCGGCCACGTCAGATCCCAGACCTCATCCCAATAGAGATGCTATGGAATGACTTGAAGAGAGCCACACATGGGAGTAGTCCAAAGAATATGACTAAATGGCTAAAGCAGTTCTGCAGGACGAATGGGCTAAAATTCCTTTTCCCACTACCATTTTGAATGTTGAATGTGTGTCTTCAATAAAGACATGAAAGATCATAATTTTTTGTGTTATTATTTTAGGCACATTATATTCGTTAGTACTCTTGACCTAGATGAAGATCAGATCATATTTCATGACAAATTAATACAGAAAACCATTAAATTCCAAAAGGTTCACATACTTTTTCTTGCCACTGTATACACACACACTTACTTTAACAGCCTAACCCTTATTTTTTATTTTCTATCTATCTCATTCTCTCTGGCCTCTTCATCTTTCTCACTCGCCACTGATGACTCAAATACTGCACAGTAATGGCAATGACGAGCCCAGTGAATCAAACACTAACACATATACATGTAAACACATGTGCACACTATTTATGCCTGATCATATTCACATATGTAGTGAATTTGTTTCAGATTGCAAGGACACGGATGGGAATGACACACACTTCAGCACAGATCTCCATGCAGACCGAACAGTCTGTGAGGTGTAATGAGCTCATCTTCAGCTACCTCTCTCTCTGTCGACTCACCCCCTCTCCCCCTTTCTCTTTCTCCTCCTTTGTCTGTCTTGCTTCACCTCTCCACCCGTGCCTCTCTCCCTCTCCTTCTCTCGCTCTCTCTCAGGTGATTTATCGTGTGTCAGGTTCTCTGCTGCAGGGGCTTCTGGGACGCCGTCAAGGTGCCCAGTGGTCAGGTAATGACAAGTGTGTGTGTGGGGGGGATGTGAGTGCATATGTGTGTGTTAAGAATATTTCAAGCTGCTTGTCCAGAGAAGTGTCACGCTTCTCCCTGCAGTATGTGCGGGTAACGATCACCTTCAGACAAACTTAGCTTCAGATTAATTCACATTCAGATTAATTTATTGTGTGATAAAGGTAGTGACTCACCTACAGCCACACACCACCTGCCTGTCTGAACTATGCGCGTGTGTGTGTGTGTGTATGTGTCTGCGTGCAAACCTGCTTGCCATCGGCCATGTTGCAGGGCAGCAGCAGGACCTGGGAGGCAGGGAAGGTGGTGGACAGAGACAGACAGTGCTGCTGCTGGCGGATCTGCTGCCCATGCGTGTACACCCACTCCTGGAGGAAGAAGGAAAAAGAATGTTCATCATGTTAACATTAATTGTTGTTTGTTGGTTGCGACATTTCTCCTTTGGTTTTGTCTCTGTAAGTGGCCCTAAATTCCGAGGAGCTTTGCCTGTGTACTTCCATTTTGTGTTCCTTTATTTTGACAACGCTACATTCATTTAACAGCTGCAAGTAAACCGTCTACATGGAGCCACATTAACATTAGTGCGGTTCAAGAAGAATGCTGTGCCATGAGGTCCGACTCCCAGGTGCTAGATGGAGCTCTCTGCAGACCAGTCATCCACACCGAACTGGGAAAACTATCTTTATGGACCTGACTGTTATCTAAAAAATGATTTCAAATCAAATCAAACTTTATTTATATAGTGCCAAATCACAACTAAAGTCATCTCAGGACACTTTACAAAGTAAGGTCTAGACCTTACTGTTATCAATATTATTACATAGGGAAAACCCAACAAATCCCCCTTGAGCAAGCACTTGGCGACAGTGGGGAGGAAAAACTCCCTTTAACGGAAGAAACCTCCGACAGACCCCGGCTCTTGGTGGGCGGCCTTCTGTTGTCACCTTCTCACCCAGCTGCTTGGCGATGGTCTTGTAGCCCATTCCAGCCTTGTGTAGGTCCACAATCTTGTCCCTGACATCCTTGGAAAGCTCTTTGGTCTTGGCCATGGTGAAGAGTTTGGAATCTGGATTGATCGAATGCTTCTGTGGACAGGTCTCTTTTATACAGGTAACGAGCTGAGAGGGCTCCCAATGTCAGCTCATTACCTGTATAAAATACACCTGGGAGCCAGAGATCTTGCTGACTGATAGGGGATCAAATACTTATTTCATTCATGAAAATGCAAATTACTTTATAACTTTTTTTGTAATGCATTTTTCTGAGTATTTTTTTGTTATTGCTGTGTCTCTCACTGTTCACATAAACCTACCATTGACACTGTAGACTGATTATTTCTTTGTTAGTGGGCAAACTTGCAAAATCAGCTGGGGTTCAAATATTTTTTTCCCTGACAGTAGGTAAACAACGGTATATATACTGATGAAAAAAGATGTGTAACACTCTAAACAAAGCAGGTAATTGAGAAACCCCATATTTTAACTGGCATAATGCAGACATAGTAACCTATCCAGCCTTACAATTCTCTAAAAAGTCACTTTCGGCTTTTCCCGTTTAGGGGTTGCCACAGCAAATTGTCACACTGACGACTCGCATGTTGACAGTTAGCACGTGTTTTATGTCGGATGCCCTTCCTGATGCAACCCTGACTTGAACCCGGGGCACAGCGGCGAGAGTGCTGTGCCTTAACCACTAGCCTACCAGGGACAGCTAAACTTAGTTTATTTCCACCTCTGGACAATAACATGCTCGTTTTACGCTGTAATAATGTGTTTTATATCATTTCTCTTTCTGCTATAGACTGTAGTTTATTAGAAAGCTACTCATAATGTGACTCATCTGTGTAAAATTATCTTCACCAACCCTATTTTTGCAATTCCCTTTAATAAAGCTGTGTATTCAGGGGAGTATTATTTTCAAATAAAAGTTTTAGTCTGCTTTCACTGTCACTTGAGTCGTGTGTGGGTCCATTTGGCCATTTAATTCAGAAAATCAAGGATCATGTAGTTCACACCCACTTAAATATTAATACGTTTTCGAGCCACAGAAGCATTGTTGGTGCTCAGTGCAATGTTTTTAATTTGTGTGCTACTGATGGCTCCAACATGTTCAAGGAAACCAGTAATCTGTGTATGTGTAGCTGGTTGTTCACTGATTAACAGTGAGCAGTGTGGAAATGAACGAATCACTGCATCATCAGTGGAACTGTAAGAGTAATGGAAGTCTCATTTATTATGGCCGAAACTGTGGCTTTCACAGACTCAAATCATCAATGTTGATGCACCTGTTTTGTTAATTTAATATAAAGTGTAGATGCAGTGATGGCAGTTTCAGTGGAGACAATGCGTTCTTCCTTTTGTTGAAGCAGTTGCATCTTGCACAAATTCTGTCACAAAAACTATTCCATTTATAGCCAAAGTGTATTTTTTTAATGAGCTCAGCATCACTAGGCGCAAGTAAAACATCTCTCCTCCCGCTGAGTCTGTGTGTTTATCTTTGTCTAAACGCCACCTCATGGCAGCTCCTAACCAGTTAGGACACCTCTGCAGCTGTCCTACATTTTGTTGGTGATAGAAGAGATTTTTTAAGATAGGAGTGTTGATAAATTGCTCTTACTACCAAAAATGCATTATTCTGAGAATCTTTGCCTACTTAGAAGTCATTTCCTACTCTGAGATGCTTGATAAATATGGGCCCTGAACCTAAATAAACTTGATCCTTGCACATTCAGTTTGTATGTTAGAGGTATCTACTGTATGATGAGGCTGCTTAAACACCTTGACAAAGAAGCATATATCCAGCTTTATTATGAAACATTGAGAGAAAAGAGGGGGAGGGAGATTTTTACAGCAACCTGCAGAACACAAATCTAAACCCTGGTAAAGATCTTTCTGCCTGGTGAGCAATCACTTATACAGCTAGCAGGCAGCTAGTGTATGTGAGGTAATCTCTTGACAGGAAATGATCTTGGTAAAAAAGGCTTGAGAATGGAAACCTTTTTCTTCAACAAGATACAGTTTAATTGCATTAATTAAATCTTTGTACAAAGTACAAAAGCAGGTTTAAAGCTGATGTGGAAAACGTGCATAAAAATACACCTTTTATTATCTACCCTCAGCAGAAGAAAAGGTCCCTAACAGGCTGAGCTTCCAAACCTCACTAAATGAGACACCAAAGATTCAGTGTACGTGTCTGTCTCATCAGTAATAGGTGAGAGTAAGTGGCGAAGTGTTGTGTGCAGAAAAAGAGCTAGGTCTTACAGAATAGTGGTTTAACTAAACCCCTCACTCCTCTCAGGTACAAAAACAGATTTAGGGTGAGGTCAGAGTGAACATGACACAGCCCCATTATTTTCTATCCAAAATTCCAAACAGTTACTTGTGAACAGAGAAATGTTGTTGTCAGTGACAGTGAGGTTTGCTCCTCTCTTCTATGGTTTTTGCTGCTTAGGTTCAGAAATGATAGATCAGTGCTCAAAGGGCTATGACACACCAAGCAGAGTGGCCATCAGCCACTCGTCAGGCCATCGATGAGGATCTGTTAGAGCTCTTCTCGTTGTGTCCCACACCGTTGGCATGTTGCGTCGCCATCAGACCTCATCATTTTGAGAGACCACTCTGATTGGCTATTCAGCTTAGCAAAGTAATGCAAGAGAAGGGAACTGTTTGGGAAAGCCCCTTGAGCCTATGGCTGTAGTATCCACGATTTCATCCATTTAGTGTAATTTCTCCTTATTTGTTGCCTCCATGGTCTTATTTCTTCTTCCACATCCAAAAGACCCAGGGGCAGAGAATGCTGGTGCCATTTACAACTTCTTATCACACATATTCTTGATTTGAATCATGTATAAACAGCTGCTGTGTTGAAGAAGAGCTGCTTTGTGTACAGCTTGTATTTCCACTGCCTAGGTTGTCTCCTTTCCCTTTCTGAATGGTGAATACAGATACAGGCTGACATTTTGATTCAGTGGGTAAATCCCAGTATGCTTAATTTTATTAATGAATTCACATTTAATTAACAATTCACATTTTCCTCACTTGCATCGTTTTCTTTCAGCTCATGTAAAATGTGAGACAAAGACTTTAGGAAAAAATGCCAGAGAGGAATTGAGGAAATACATTTTAAGAAACATGAGATGTTGTCTCCTCCAGTCCTTCATCTGAAATCCAATCACTGGTTGGTAGATTTACGATAAAGAGGTGTGTTAGTCTATAACACAGTCTTCCATGAAGGATGGTCTAGTATCCTGCCTCGTGTTTTTTCCTGGCAGCCTCCACGCTCCCTAGTCCTCCCTCCTCAGCAGGGATAAATCTCAGTCTCTTAACTGGGTGCACATTTACCTCACTTGCAACTTGTCCTGGTGTCTCAGCCTGTATTAAATGAAAGGAGAAGATGCAAGGAAAGAATGTGAGAAAGAAATCGAGGAAACAAGTTTAAGACATGAGATGTCCTTTCCTTTGATCTGTCATCTGAAATGTCCAATCACCAACTGACTTCTGATAAAGAGGCGTTGGTCCATACATGACTTCCCTGAAGTATACTCTCATGCATCTTTGCTGGTGGCTCCTACAGGCAGCCTCCTGTCTGCTTGATCCTTGCTCCTCAGAGCAAGAATAAGTAATTTTGGACATCTTTTAAGCTGATGGACCAGATCGACTTCCAGGACAAGCAAGAATTCAGGAATGAGGAATGATCAAATAAGGGAACCTGGGAGTCACTCGGAGACTGACAGCCACCTGGTTATAGCCTACCAAAAGACTGTAAGACTGAAGTGGCAAAAACCTCGTGTTTTGATTTGATTAAATGTAGATTTTATTGCTTAGAGTGTTAACTTTTCATATGTAGGATAATCAGTGATTTTTTTTTGAAAATTAACTACAAAAACACTTCTTGTGGTGGTGTGAGAGCACAATTAGACTAGTTTGAATTAAATACAAAAACAGGGAAAAATGTGGGCAAGCGGCATAGACATTACTACATAGAGCATAAACATATAGCACATAAGTAGTTAATCAGGTGTACAGTTCATTATAACATTGGGTAGGGGTCCAGAGAAAACTACGGAGTCTGACATTGTTTTAGCAAAGTTACACACCCACTCAACATTAATTTAGTGACCTCCGACTGGCGAAGTCGGGAGTCATTAGTGCCGACATGAATAACAACCTTACTGTATTTACGCTTATCCTTAGTCAGCATCTTCAAATAGGATTTGTATGTTGTACCATTACAGCTACAGAATGTAGCATTTCTGATGTTTTAAGTTGGAATATGATCCAAGGTTTCTGTGACCAGACTCACTGAACAACCTGGCAGCAGAGCAGGGATATTCTAAAGTTTCTGAGTGAGTGCCGACTTTCTAACCCAT